GCTGCCGCCGGGCCCGTTTACCTCAGCGGGCCGCTGCTGGGCCCGTCTACCTCTGTGGGCCGCCGCTGGGCCTGAGTGTCTCTGCCAGCTGCCGCCGGGTCTGAATATCCCTGTCGGCTGCCGCTGGGTCCGTCTACCTCCGCGGGCCGCCGCCGCAGGCCTACCTGCGTCTGCTTGTCTCTGCCGCCGGGCCTGTCTACCTCTGTGGGCCGCCGCTGGGCCTGAATGTCTCTGCCGGCTGCCTCCGGGCCTGAATATCCCTGTCGGCTGCCGCCGCTGGGCACGTCTACCTCAGCGGGCTGTTGCTGGGCCCGTCCGTGATTTCCTTCTTATGTAGAGGTTTTTGTCTCCTGCAGTGCTCCTAGCTTCCCCCCAAAGTGATTTTTATATTAAAGGATTAAAAACTTTTTTGAAGATAACTACAGAGTTATTTCAGATTAACATTAATGGGTGAATATTTGCAAGAGATTTTGGGAATAGGAAACCCTAGTAATGAGGTATTCTGTTCCCCCAAAGAATCTGTTCTTCTTGCTAACAGACTTGTATTAAGATGCTATTTACAATGGCTATTATTTGAGTTTTGTCCATGAAGTTTGTGGATCCTTTTCTCTTGTTATGTAAATGTATACATGATTTTGCCTGTTGGCCTACAGAGAACGAAATACTTAGGATTTCTCTCCTTAAATAAAGTGGACAAATCTTGTTTGACAGCAGAGCTTCTCAAATAGAGAGTGCTCACAGGGCCTTATTAAAATGCAGGTTCTGATCTGGGCTACAGAAGGCCTAACAATTTGTACTGATTGAAAGCATCTTAGCTGATATGGTTACACGCTAGCTAACAAGTCTCCAGTGTTCTAGGTAGATTTTCAGGCACTGCCAGTGCATTCTCTCTCCTGCCTTTTTGATTTTTAGAGACAGGGTTTCTCTGTGTAGCCTTGGCCATCCTGGAACTACCTCTGCGATAAGGTTGGCTTCAAACCCAGAGATCCGCCTGCCCCTGCCTCCCTCAGTGCTGGGATTAATGGTGTGCACCACCACCGCCCGGCTTGCCAGTGCGTTCTCCAACTCCTGTCAGTGTCAGGGCCTGTGCTAGGGCTGCTCGTGCATAGTCTTTCTTTTAAAAGTCCATGAAAGTGTTAGAAACTGTTGAAGTGAGACAGCATTGGGTGAGCATGGGGCTTGCTGCCCCCTCTCCAGGTGCACACTTCAAGGAGCACATAGGGAAGGTTAGGTCCCAGAGGAAACTGTACATTTGCAGGAACAGTGAGAAATAAACCACCTTGTTAGTGCAGGCTGGTCCCCGACAGAGAGGGCCTGTTGTCTCCATCTTTCTAAGTGCTGGTGCAGTATCAACCGGTTGCCAGGCCAAGGAGAGGTGTGGACACTCAGGTGCTTTGGAAACATGCTCTGCTCCTGCTTCTCTCTTTACCCGAAACCTCTAAAATTTTGATAAAGTTCAATGCATTAGTTTTTACAAGGTTACGTGTTTTAATTGTAAAATATATAATTAAATTTCTCCCTTTTTTCTGAGGTGTTGAGGATTGAACCAAGTAGCTAGGGGAGTTCTCCCGTTGGAGTTCACCCCTTAATACAGTAGAACAGAAATGATATTGTTTAGGACTCTTTTCTTTTTATTACTTTTTTGAGATGAGATATGTAACCCATGCTGCCTAGAGCTGTCTCTGTAGCCTAGCTGGCCTTGAACTCATGATCTTCCTACCTTACCCTCCTTGGTGTTTGGATTGTAGGTATGTGCCACAGCAGCTAGCTTGTTTAGATCTCTTATTACTTCCCTACAGAAGTGTTTTGTGGAACATCTTTATGTTTGTGTACATGCTTGCATGCATGAGTGAGTGCGTACTGAATTGGGTGTACTGTGGACTATAGATAGTCAAAAGTGTGAATCTGCTATAAGATGCTTTGTTAAATGGGGTGTACCTTTTGAAAAGTTGTAAAGTTGTAGTTTTTTTCTGTTTATAGCATTCATTTTTAATTTTTTATTGTAGTCTCATATGTAATGTATATATATGTGTGCGTACACACAAGCACATGTGTTGTTTTTTCTTAATAGGTGCAATGGATGAGCTTCACAGTCTGGATCCAAGAAGACAAGAATTATTGGAAGCTAGATTTACTGGAGTTGCCACTGGGAGCACTGGGAGTACTGGGAGTTGCAGTGTTGGCGCGAAAGTGAGTAAACTTTTCGTCTCATCTCATGTCCTTTCTCTGTACTAAGTGGTCTAGAGCATACTTGGTGGAGCTGTTGAGACAGCTTGACGGCCAGAGTTTAAACCCCAGGTCTCTTGTGTTGGAAGGAGAGATCCAAATATTACAGGTTGTCCACTGGCCACCGTAGTGGCCACACGTGTGCGAGTGTGTGTGTGTGTGTGTGTGTGTGTGCGCACACACACACACACACACACACACACACACAATATAAAACACCGAACCTACAAAGTTTCTTTTGTGCAGGAGCCCTATATACATGCTTAAGGACAGACTATTACTTTTTTGTGATTTTTATAATGTGTAGAAGAAAAGTATCTAGAAACTTGATTTTATTTGCTGTGCAGAATATTTATATTAATGCAGTTGTGTTTGGCAGTTTTTGCTATTAATTTCTTGAACAAAAGGTCTTGCCTATGCTTGTATATATGGAAGTGTTGCCTTGCTTTTCCTGTAGCAAGTGTGAGGTTTTACATGGAAGTTTTCACTCCATTTTGAATTGAGTTTTTGCACAGGCGGAGAGAAAGGAATCTAGTTTCTTTCTGCATGTGGATATGTGGTTTCCCCCACCAAATTTGAATAGATTGTCTTTCTCTCCGTCATACATTTTTAGCACCTTTTTTGAAAATCACATGGCTATCCCCATGTAGGTTTCTGTGTCCTCTGGTTGGTGATCTGTGTGTGTTAGTCTCAGTAGCGTGCTCTGTCTGGTACAGATATGTAGTATAATTTGAAATCAGGTCTTGTGATACCTCCAGCCTTGCTTTTTTTGCTCAGGGTGTCTTTGGCTACTTGGTGTCATTAATACTTCTGTGTGAGTTGTAAGATTTTCTTTTCCTTTTCTGTTTCTGTGAAGAATGTTTTTGGCTTTGCTGGAGGATTGTGTTTAATCTGTAAATTGTGTTTGATAGTAGAGCGTTATACAATATTATGCTAGTCCTGGAGATCTATTTTGTAGTGTCTTCAGTTTGTCTTTCATAATTTAGGGTTTTCATTGTAGATTTCTTTCACCTTCTTGGTTAGATATTTATATCTGTCGGCCATTTATCTATCTGCACATGCACATGCACACACACACACACACAATTTCTAAATTTTGTACCATTCTATAACATCATGAATGGGACTGTGTTCTTAATTTCCTTCTCAGTATTTGATAGATAGAAAAGGTACTGGTTTTGTTTGTTGAACATGTATCCTAATATTTTGCTCAAAGTCTATCAAATCAAAGTTTTCTGGAGGCTTTAGAGCCTCCTGAGTAGGGAACATATTATCTGTAGAAGGAGTGACTTGAGTGAGTTCCTGTCCTATTCATGTCTCCTTTGTTTCTTTCTCCTGTCTTATGTCTCTGACCATCACTAGCACCATATTGAATAAGAGTGAAGAAGTAGAATCCTGTTTTGTTACTGATTTTAGAGGAAGGACTTTCAGTTTTTCTTCATTCAGTGTAATGTTGGACATAGATTTGTCAAAAGCCTTTATAATGTTGCAGTATGATCCCTTTGCTGCTAGTTTCTTCAGTGTTGGTCATGAAAGGATGTTGAACTTTGTCCAAAGGCCTTCTCCACATCTCTTGAGACTACTGTGATTCTGTCCCTGGGTCTATTCATATGCTGCATTACATCTTCTGATGTGTGTGTGTTGAGTCATCCTTCATCCCTCACCAGGTAATTTCATATTTCTTATTTTGAGAAACTGCCTAACTGTTTTATATCCTCATCAGCAGTGCGCAAGGAGTGTAGTTTCTCCATCCTTACCAGCACTTGTTATTATCTCTTCTAGTCTAGCATTCTGGTTGATGTATAAAGAAAGCAATGCCATATAGTATTCTGGTTTACATTTCCTTGTTGACCAGTGATGTTGAACTTTTTGCCATATATCTACTTACCATTTATATTTTTTCTCTGATGGGGTATCTAGTCAAATCCTTTGCCTGTTTTTAAGTCAGGTTGCTTTTAAATCTGGAGTTACAAGGGATTTTTATGTGTGATGGGTAATAGACCCTTGTAAGAAAAATGATTTGCAGATTCTTCTCCCATTCTTTGGGTATCATATCTGAGAAATTTGCATAGTTCAATATCACATAGTATATGCCTATACTCTTTTTTCTAAGACATTGTTGAGGTGTGAATCCTTCACAGGCTCATGTGTTAAACACCTGGTCCCTGGCTGGTGGTGGTGTTTGAGGGGGACTGAGGAGGCCTCAGGAGATGGGACTTACTTAGTTGGAGGAACAGGGTACTAGAGGGAGAGCCTTTGAAAGAGTTCCCAGTTTCTCTGCCTTTTCCCTCTCTGCTTCGCTCTGTCTCCTCCTCATGTTCCCTCTGGGATGCTATCACCAAATGCATAGGGCCATGTGATGAGACCTTTACAGGTGTTTTACCATAAAACGAACCCAGAAAGACGTTTGTAGTTTTAGCCCCTACACTGAGGCCAGGATCGTTTTGAACACACACTGTGCTTCTCTAGTTGTTGATTCGTGGACATAAATACTGGGTTTACCTCTCCACTTTTAGTCCTGTGGGATCTGAACTTCTGTTCTCAGCATCGGACCACACTTCGGTGTAGTTTGTGGCACATTTGAAAACTGAAGTGTGTGTTTGCCAACTTGGTTCTTGTTTAAGATTAATTTGGCTGCCCTGGGTCTCTTGCATTTCAGCCTGACTTTTAGAACCAGCTGGCCATCTTCTAAAAGAAGATAGCTGGAGTTTTGATCAGAGTTGCAGGTGAATGTTTAGGTTAGTTTAAGTATTGCAATATTAGTAAGTTGTCTAGTCCTTACATTTGCTTAGTATAGCCAGAAGCTTTTTTCCCCACCCACCGGTACCCAAATAACCAGTCAGAGGCTTATTAGTTACAAACTGTTTGGTCTATGGTTCAGGCTTACTGCTAACTAGCTCTTTTATCTTAGATTAACCCATTTCTATTAATCTGTGTATCACCATGTGTCTCGTGGTTTATCTGAATTCCATTACATCTTGCTTCTCCCTGTATCTCTCTTGGACTTCCCGCCTGGCTATAACCTGTCTTGGCCAGAGCAGCTTCTTTATTAACCAATGAGCAACACATATTCACAGCATACAGAAAGACATCCCACAGCAGCTTAGGTCTTTCGTTTCCTTTCAGTGGTATTTTGTGGCTTTGGTGTATAGCTCTCTGTGTTTTTCCTTCTTTTTCACAGTGTTGTGAAGGTAATGTGTTTCATGTTTTTCTTTCTCTTCTAGTGGAATTGTCCTCCTCACTTTATTTTCAGGTGTTCATTGCTGTTGAATAAAAAGTACAATTGAGTTTTGTGTCTGGCTCTTGTGTCCTGAAACCTCATTGAACTTGCTTATTAGTTCTACTAGTTTTACCAAAAGCAGTAAGCTTTAGGAGTTACTCAGTGTTTCTATGTGCACAATACTGTAGGCAGAAGAGCACCTCATGACAGGTGTCAGATCTTGTTCCAAGACCCTGGGATTGACATCTTCACCGTAGGACTGGCTGGAAGGACAGGCCCGAGTCCTGTTTCCTTGTCAGCTGGGAGTGAGTCACTCGGAGCCCAGTGCTGTTCTGCTCCCTCTTTCTTTGATCAACCATCGCATCTGCTACCTCCACCCCACAGCCACCCTCTTGAGAAGAAGAAAAGAGTGCGCTATACCAGATCATCCCAGCTGCTGTTTTATTTTACTGTTGAATTATTCCCAAAGGGATAGAGAGTTTAGAATGTGTGTGCACTTAAAATGTCATTTTCCTAGTTTGAAAGGCACATCTGATTGCATACTGTCTTTCTTAGAAATTTTTAAATGGTTTCACATAGTTTTTGAGTTTACTTAGTGTTCTTAATTTTTTTTTCTTTTTTACCTTATCTTATAGCCCAATCTTCTGCTTCTCCCCACCATTTTTTCCTTCACATTTATACTCTAGTCTAGTATACTGATTTCTTCCAACAGGCCGTTTTTCCATCTTTTTTCTTTGGACTGGGCAGTTGACCTTGTTTCCCACGTCTTTGACCCCCTCTGTCATCAGATTCACCACTGGTAGATGACGCAGAATCTTGAGAATGGTTCGACTCGCTGCTTACCCAAATGCAGATTAGGTGACCTCCTATTTCCTTCTGTCCACACCTAGATGTACCTGAGCATACTTTATTAATCACATTGTCATTATTTTCTACTAGACTGCTACTATGTTGAGGTCAGGAAGACTTGCATATCTTAATTTGGGGGATGAAATAACTTTTAAGAGTTCAAAACTGGGCTGGAGATGGCCCAGTAGCTAAGAGCACTGGCTGCTCTCTAGAGGATCTGGGTTCAAGTCCCAGCACCCACATGGCAGCTCATAACAGTGTATAACTCGAGTCATAGGGGCTCTGATGCCCTCTTCTGTCTCCCATGGGCAGGCATGCAAGTGGTGCACAGACATACATGCAGGTAAAACATTCCTACATATAAAAAATAAAAATGATTTTTTTAATTAAAAAAACAGAAATCACAACAGTATGCCTGATTCTAATGCAGTTTTGGGAACAGTAGAGACCAAGTTTATTAGGGTAGCTTTGTTTTCTGTTTTTTTATTTTCCTTCACTTGTCCTAGACATTAAGGCTAGGGCCTTGTACATGCTAGACAAGCACTCTGCCACTGAGCCCAGCCGAAGATTTGTTTTGAGACTTGAATTTATTCTAGAAAGTATGAGGGAAGCCTTCTAAACCTGCTCTTGTATTATTCTATTACCAGCAGACAGAGCTAGCAAGGCTTCTGGAAATGAAAACAGAGCCACTGTTTGGTTTACTAAGAATATCCTTACCGCTAAGCTGATGGTATCAGATAAGAATAAAAACTAAGTCATCTATTTCATCGTGTGTGTGTGTGTGTGTGTGTGTGTGTGTGTGTATGTGTGTGTGTGTAGGTAAACCAGGGGCTTGTGCACATTTCATATGTGTTTGTGTGTAGGTAAACCAGGGTCTTGTGCATGGTGGGCAAGT